TGTACTTTTGGTACTGCACATTAGAGGAACCTAATACACATTTATTTAATACCTCACATGGGAGGTACTAAATTTAATGCACATTAGGAAAAGGGCATTAATGCACATGTAGACATGCTCAGTTACTGACAGCTGTGGGAGGAGGACTGAGATGAAAACTCTATTCAGGACACCAGGGGCAGTGGTAGGAATCTTACTTAGTCAAATGTGTTACCTAGTAGAAATTGGCAACTGACTAAAGGTCCAGTATTTTTCTTTGTTTCAAACTCTTGGACTTTGTGCTTATGAGTGGGGAAGTATTGCCTATCAAAGAAGGTAATTTATTTTTCTTGACTTGCCAACCTGGACATTTTTACTGCCAACATCAGGTAAGGATTCCTGGAATTTCAAATATTACATGTATTAGAATATTTTCATTTATTGTAAGTGTCATATCTTTATTTCACATTCATAATTTAAAGACTTTACTTTCTCCTACCCTGACAAATTTGAGTGTCTGCTGCCACACAATCATTTTCCAAAAGTAATGAATAATGGTTCTATCACTAATATGCTTCATGACATCTGTTTTTTTCCTTTTCTGATTTTCATTGTGTAACTATGGAAACTGAGGGTGCATACCTCAGTAGCTCACAGAGGAGCAGGCAAGGTAATTTTATTAATTTTATTAAATCCTCAGGATAGATATCTTTTGCTTCATCATTAATTAGAAGTAATCTAACTTTGAGGATGCCTTATTAAAACCAGTAGAATGGTCTTTTTCAATTGCATGACAAAGCAGGAGCTCCTGGGAATGTTGTAAACAATTACTCACACTTAATAAAAAGGCTCAGTCAGGAAGCTTATTTATTTATATTCACATCTAGGTTTTTATACAACACCCATCACTCAGGTATATTAATATCTTGTGTGCATTATGCAATTACCACCCATTTCAGCACAAGGAGTGGTTCACACCACATAGCATTCTGAGAGATGTCTTGAGGAGCGTGTCAAAAGATGACACTTACCAGATGACAAAAAGAAACATGGCTATAAGTACCTATTCTATGTAGAAGAAATCTAAAGTAGCACTGAACTACTATAAAGGCTTCTGTATCACCTTTCCAAGCCCCAACATAGATGATAAAGCTAAAAAGAGGGTGTCACCAAGGTGTCATCAAGGTAATCTCAGCTCTGAGCTGACTCTAGCCTCTATAATGAGCTGATAACAATTCCAGTAGCCTTGAGACACATGTACCTTATACAGGGACCATTAACCAAGTAATCCTAGGACTGAGAGGCTGCAAAAAGCACTTTTGTGTGCCATCTCTCCCACCCCCACACCCTGTCCTCAGCTGAACTATACACTGGATCTAATCCAGCATGTTTTTATTGTCTACAGTTTGGAAAAGAGAAGTATCTCACCTAGGATACCACTTCAGTAAAAACATATTTGTTGATATACACAATGATTCAGAGCCTGGTCCCTTGTTCCTCTTGCTATGTGTGCCTGGTAAGTCCAGCTTTACCAATAGCTTGGTAAGTCTTCTGATAACAGAGATGTTCATTTGTGGAGCTAATTACCACAGAATATTGGAGAGACCAAGAAGGTAGCAATACGTAAAAAATAATTGGACACTTACATGAATAGCAAATATAAACAGAGTTATAATGCTGATTGCTAACATACATTTTGAAAGATATATTAAATATCATGCTTCACAGGTAAGGGAACAAGAGGAAGATGAATATGTGGGGTACATTATCCCACATCTGCTGGCTCTATGGGTATTTTTCACTTCCCTCTGAAGCATCTGGAGGGGTGAGACTGTCCAGGACTGGGAGTAATGGGCCTTGAAGCCCATCCAGTATGTTCCTACAAGACTAATGCTCTTGGGAAAGAGCATGGCTAAGATGTCACTGCGCTTCAGCCATCCTTGTTGATGACACAGCCAACCAGCCTCCATGAGGAAACACATGGAGGAGTGTCAATTAGGCTAGGGACAGACATTACACATAAACTGGTTTAAGTGATCACAAACTGGTTTAAACCTGTAAGAGAACAGATGTTCAGTGAACATAAACCAGTTTGAAAATGGCTGAAACCAGTTTGAGATAAACCTGGTTGAATGTAGTATCAGACTTAACTGATTTGGCTCAAACCAGTTTATGCAATGTCTGTCCCAGACCCCTTGCTGGTTTAAGTTAAATCAGAGACACTACCCCCCGCCCCCAGCATCCCAGAATGCTCTCTGGGCTGGGTAGGGGTCTCTGCTCCACAGCAGGGCTGGCCCCTCCCCTCTGCTCCCTGGCTGGAGCTCAACACAGACATGCAGGCACAGCAGGGTCTGCTGGGTTCCCCATGCCCCCCCTCTCCCCCTCTCAGCCACCACTCATTACTTAAGCAGAGATCCTTTCCTCCTCTCTACCACAGCAGGGGCTATAGGCAGACAGAATAGTGACCGCTTAGAGCTTTTGGAGCTAATCAACAGGTCATCTGGTAAGGTGTTTAAGAAGTTTGAAGTAATGTAGAAAGAGGCTACTGTTTTGCTAATCAGGTGATAAAGACTGTTATCAGTGTGTCATCCCTGCCCCCTGCCCCCTACCCAGCTGGCTTGGACATCTATCAGTTTGCTGCAAACAGTATGATGAAGCAGGGAGGAAGATTGAAAAGCTCCATATCTTCAGCAGATGCATTCACTGAACAACCCCCCTTGCCTTAGAGTACTAGCCCGGGGCTGGCAAGACTCTCCCTCCCCCCCCCCCCCCCTTTAAGCAGCCAGCAGGGAAAAGCCTGGGACTGTGCAGGCAGACCTCCCTAATGAAAGAGTCCTGCCGGGGCCTGGCCACATCCCCCTCAGCTCACCTCCCTGCAGAAGGGAAGGGAGGGCAGCTCTAGTGCCCCCTACCATCTTGGCTTCTAGCCTGACCCACTACAGGCATGTGCCTGAATTTCCTCAGTCTAGAGAGAATGTTTGTCCAGTTTTAAACCAGTTCTGCTTAGTCAGGTTAGACTAACCTGCAAAAATTGAAACAATTCAGGCTCAGGCTTTTTGAATGTCTGTCCCTAGCCTTAGAGACTGGGAATTCTATCTGCCCTGTTCACTCTTTGTAGGAACCAGGAATTGAAATTCAGGCTTTCTTGACATCAATGGCAAAACTGGCACTGACTCCAAAGAAGCCAGGATTTCATCTAGGTTTGACTTTGAGCAAATGAAGTATCACCTAAAATGTTTATGGTAGGTACAGAGATGTGTTTTATCTTATGGGCTGAAACATGTCTTTGTTTTTTAAACCTGAATATATTGGAGGGAATCTTGCACAAGTTGCAGCACTCCGTTTTGTATGCAACGATGTCATGAAAAGGAAAGCTCCACTTTGTGTTGCTTAGAATGTATTGTAAGTGTGATGTCATGGTACACAGGACTTGTGCTAGCCCCATGTATAGGGCTTGCCATACATGAATATCAAGTTGCAGTTTGTACCATTTACAGAAGCTTGATTCTCTTGCAGTAGCACATGCCACATTGCTCAGGCTGCACATCAAAGGTTTTCAAAACAAAATAAACAGTGATGGCATGAGGAATGTTCACTTACCTAGAGGAGATTCAACCAAAATAAGGGTTACAGTTGCATTCTGTGGCTTAGACAATGTTCCTATATCAGCTAAACAAGTCAGAGTCTCATTGGTTAATGGAGTCAAAGTTAAGATGCTGGTTGTATTGTGAAGGCCATTAGATTCTTGACCGTGTTCAGTGATATACATCGATTTATCTACGAAAGAGTTATTTATCTTCCAGGTAATGTTTGGAGCTGGAGCCCATCCTAAGGCTTCACAAAAAATTTCAATTGTTTTGTTCACTTCTACTGTCAAGTTGCTATCTTTGATGAACAAAGATCCATTAACTGTAGGAGGCAAAAATGTTTTCTTTCTTCAGAATATTTAAATTAAATGCTTTGCTACTGCCAGCTTTAAATCTCTTTTGATAACAGAAATCAATCATGTTTTGAAATGTACATTAAAAAACCTATAAAATACTGGTTGTCTCATTTTTACGAGAGAAACACAAAGCTATTGCAATTTCTTGCCCATGTTATATTCTGTTTTGACATTAGGCTCAGTTTTCAATTAAAAAGGCTGGAATTATATTTCTCTGTTAGTTTTTAAAGAGTTTCTTCAGGTCAATCAGGAAACAAATTATAGAAGGCTCATATTCTCTTGGTGTTAGGTATTTTTCTTTATAACAAATTAACAGTGGGCAGAAGGAAGATTCTACTTGATTGAATGCACATGCAACAGTGATGATTGAGAGAGCTTATATAGAAAGTACTTGATATGCAGGATCTTATTTTTTCTTGGTCGCTGTAATGTAGAGCAAAAATCATAACAAGAGGGGTATAACCTTGTGTCTCAGAGACTACACTTCTGCACTCCCTTGAATCAACTACAAATAAGCTGGCTGGATGCTGCCAATTCCTAAATCAGAAGTAGAAGGGAAGCTCTACATTAAATACCAAATATGGTTTATGTACAAAACTGAGCAAAAATCCATAAAGATTCTGGTCAGAAGAGATTCTTTTTGACTGATAAATGGCACTGTTATTAACGGGCTTCTGGCACTCTCAAGCAATCCAAGAAAGAATAAGAGAAGCTATGGAAAAAAGAGAGCAGAATTGAAATCTTTTATAGCAGCAGCCTGAATATGAGTGAGAAAGCTGCTCTGATGCAAAATTACTGAAACAGCTTTCAAAAGAAGAGACATAGCAGATATAGGACATTAAATGAAAGAAAGAAACAATATATAGAGACAATCTGGGCAATGTGCCAAAGTCTGTTTTACCAGTAATTTAAAATGAATTCCTTGACATGAAAATTCATACACACCTTGAACAGTAAGAAATGCATAGCCATTTTCAGTACTGCCTTGACTGCTGCATTCTATTTTACCAGAATCACTCTGACGGACATCATGGATAATCAGCTCTGAAGTAAATTCATTACCAGCCGTATAATTTTGAGAGGTGAAACGATTTTCTGTTATAACAGGTCCTAAATGATTAACTACAGTAAGAACAAGTTTCCCATTTGAAAGCCAAATGATGATTTTCCATTCCTGTGAGACAGTGCAGTTAAACCGGGCCTCTGAACCAGCTAGAACTGTTGCATTAGCAGGACCACGGACAATAGTATAACAGAAGCCAAGACCTGTGAGGGAAAACAAATCCAAGAATTATAAGTATAGAAATACAAATGTCAAAGTAGTGCTCTGGCTTGCTTAGTTTATTCTGCAAGATACTGTTATAAAACAATAATACTGTGTTTACTCAATTCTAAGATGAGGGTTCCTTTCTCCCATTTAACACGGGGGAAAAGCCCCGCATCTTAGAACTGAGTACAAAGGGGTGGAGGGAGCAGGTGACTGCTGTGGCTATCAGCTCATCTCCTTGAATCTCCCCACCTCCCACAGCCTCTCTCCCTCTCCCCACCCCACTCCCTCTGCCCCTATGTTTTTCAGTTCTGAAAGACTTCATCCACACTGCAGCCTAGGATACTAAGCCCAGCTCCAGCCCAGCCCCATAGCAGTGACGTACATAGCCTGCACAGCTGCTATGGGACCAAGCTGGAGCCATGCTCAGTGCCCCAGGCTTGAACAGGGATGGAGCCTGCTGGCATGAAGCCAAGATAAGGGGAGAATGGGGGAGCTAAGTCTGAGAGGAGATAGGGATGGAGGGAAGGGGCAGGAGGGGGAGCAGAATGGGAAGGGGGGCCCAAGACCCTGGGAGTGGGGGCAAGCAGGGGGTAGGCAGGTGGAAGAGGTGACAAGAGAGCAGGTGCAAGCAGAGGGCATGCTGCTTGATCTTCCCATACCACCTGCATGCCACTGCCTTCCCTCTGCAGAGGTGGGGGTAAAGTAAAGACAACCGTCCAATAATTAGATTATATAGATGGAAAATTATACCAAATTTACCATTTTTCCTATACAGAATCTAAGTCTTGGGGTGGGGAGAGGGTTCATCTTAAATTCAGGGTTGTCTTAAATTAAAGTAAATATGGTCCTTTTGGTATTGCATAGATGTAAGCATTTGACACCTGAAGAGAATGCCTATTAAAGGTAACCATCACTATATCTAATCTAACAGCATATATCCAACAGTGGTGAATATCTAATGTTTGCAGAGCAAGTTTTAAATACCAACTATTAGCAATAAGTGCCACTTTAAAAAAATCAGTGTTGAAATGAAGTCAAGGTTGAGTATGGTTGATGGTACATCAGTAATCTGCGGAAAACACATTACGGGGTCCTTGTAATGTCATCCCACAGTCATGGGACGCACAGAATTTAAATAAATCCAGAGTGGGTGTATATCCCACTGCCAGTTTTGTGTGCAGATAGATACACCATTGTTATCTAGTGATGGAACACTCCTAGCCCACCTTAGAGCCAAGCTGTGTTAAATTAGCCAATCATTAGTGAAAGGCTGCCAACTTGTGAAGAGGTGCCCCAATGAGATGGGCATTCTGCAGAACAGAGAAATAAGGAGTCCCAGTGTCCCACTTCCTCCATACTTTGAGGGTTCCCCATGCCATGCTGCATCAATACACAAGGAAAGCAAGACAGCAATGCCAACGGGAAATTTTCCAGAACCAGTGCCCAAAGCATACAGTCTTTAGGATAGCAGGATTAAGTAGAAAATTCTTCCCACAGTCTCCCATTAAAACTAACAGAATTGCCTCATATAAAATTAACTGTAGAGGAAGGATAGGGTGCAGACAGAAGTGCAGCTCCCCACTATAACTGGGAACACTTTGCAGGAAGTGTTCTGAGTTACAAAGATCCCTCAAACAAACAGAAGTTCACTGTTGGTTCTAAGAGGGAGGGAATCCAGCTGCTGGCTGCCTGCCTACAGCCGGTTTCCCCTACCAATGGCCCCTCCTCCCTGCCAACCTGTCTCTATTTTCAGAATGGGAGTGGTGAAAGGGAGCAGGAACCCATTCTAGAAGTTTCCCAGCCAATACTGGTCAGTGGGGTGGCTGAATTGGAGCCCCCAAAAGACTGAACTCCCTCTGCTCCCTTTCTCCTATCCCATTCTGAAAACAATAACAGCTTGGCAGGCAGTGCAGACAGAAGTTACAGAAGACGTTTTCTTTTGAAACATCTTCATCTGAACCCTCATTGCATGAGGGTTCAGATTTTTGCCCAATCGGGCATTTTTGAAGCTGTCTGCAGCTGTACACTTGTATTTGGTCATGGCTATAGACCACTTTCTGTGGCCAAATTGGGCAAAAAAAATTTCAGTGTACTTAGCCTCAGACATTCCAGATCTTTAGCCCCCCCAAAATGAACATTTTAAAACTTATTTGGACCATTCTGAATGTCTAAACTAAGGCTGAAAGTGAAATATATATACAAAAGTTATGGATCATTAGATGCCAGTTTGTGATAGTATTTAGGGTGATATAAAATCCTTGCCTCTTGCATAGATACCAGTTTAGCAGTCCTGATTTTTTATTTATTGTCCACAAATTTGTGAGCTAGCTCAGATAACTTATATTTTTATACTCTTTCAGATCCTAAACTAATCAGCATTCCTTGCAAACTAAATTTTTCTTTCATAATATTTGTCATAAATGAAGTTCCCCAGGCATCTTTAATTGTGGTGCCTACAGATTCCCCAAAGTATCTTTGGTCTCTTCTGTTCTCTTCTCACGGAACATTTTAGTTTACAAGGATGTTGGTCTTCTTTAATAAATGTCTTCAGTGTTACGGTACTAGTGAGCATTTTGTGGCTTGTGGTGTGTAAGTGTAAAGCTACAGCAGATGTGCTTGCAGACCCTGTATAAAATTCTAGCCTCTTCATGAAGTCACTCTGTCCCTTCATTTTAGAATAACAGAATCAGGTTAGTAAATCTTTAAGTTACATGAAACATATCACTAAATGTTTACCAAAGGATGAAACTGTCCAAAGTTCAAAACAAGAACTTTCACTTACATCTAAGTGTGTTGTTCTGTTCCTGGAATTCCAGCCATCTAATCTTTTAATGACTATGTAATTATTTTATGAATTTGCATTCCTCACTCTCTCATACAAATGTATTATAATGGATATTATGACATTCTTGCAGAAATACAAAGTATTTCTTATGTACAAAAACTCAGTGCCAAGGGTCAGGATTCTGTCTAAGTTGTGTGGTGTGCACGGCCACGCAGGTGCACTCATGCCATGCTGTCAGGCACGCCTGCGCAGCTGTGCATGCTGCACAGCTTAGAGGGAATGCTGGCAAGGGTACATGACGGCCACAGTGATGGGAAATATTTTGCTAGGCTAGCTACAGACATCCAAAAAGCTGGAGCCTGAACTGATTCAACCTTTGCAAGGTAGTCTAAACTACCTAGGTTGAACCGTTTTGTAACAGGACAAACTTTTTCTCTGGACTCAGGAACTGTGAGCACATACCTGCAGTTGCTCAGACCAGGCACCAGGGGGCACTAGAGCCAGCCCTCAGCTGCAGGAAAGTGTGTTGGGAGTGTGTGGCCAGTCCAGGCTGAACTGGCTGGAGAGGGGTCTAATTCCCCCCTCCCTGTGCCACTGGCAGGGACCCAAGCCATGTCTGCTGCATGCTCCCCACTCACTGCTGCAATAGTGGGGCACCATGTCCCCTGAAGCAAAGAGGGGCAGGGAGGAGGGTTAGTCTCTCTTCTACCCCACTGGCAGCTTGGTCTGCTGACTGTTGCTGCCATGCTTGTTCCCTGCGGGGGAATAACAAGGACCTTTGATGTGGGCAGCAGCCCCTGTCATAATGTTGGGGAGTGAGAGCCCCTTCCCAGCAGGTGTGGTGCAGAGCTGGAAGAGCTGCATGCAGCAGCACCAGCATCCAGAGAGGGCCAGAGACCTCCCAACCTCCTGCCTCGCAGTGCCGCTGCGCTTCGCAGGGCAGCCCCTGCCAGGAAGTGCTCGTGCTTGGGGAAACGAGGATGGGGCCTGCTGCCCCGGCACAGTCATTCCGCCCTCACTGCTCCAGTGGCCAGGCAGGTCCAGACACCACCTGCAAGGCCTCTGGTGGGGAGCAGGGGCTGGGGTCACTCCCCACTCTGCCCCTGGGGCACCGCAACTGGGTCTGCCTGGCACAGCCACAGCCACCACTCAGTCTGTGCTTGGGGTAGCATCTGGTGGAATATGCCCCCTCCTGCTGGGAGGTGGCTGGCCCCAAGCACAGACCAAGTGGTGGCTGCAAAGCAAGAAGTGGGCAGACTTGGTCTGTGCTCAGAGCCTAATATACTATAATAGATATTATGATATTCTTGCACAAATACAAAGTATTTCTTCTGTACAAAAACTCATTGCCAAGGGTCAGCATTCCCTCTAAGCTGTGTGGCGTGTGCCAGCAGGAGGGGGCTTATTCTGTTGGATGCTGCCCCAAGCAGAAACCAAGCAGCAGCTGCAGCCAGGCTGGGCAAACCCAGCTGTGGTGCCCTAGGAGCAGAGCAGGGAGTAACCCCACTTCCTGCCCCCCACTCCCTCAGAGACCCTGCAGGAAGTGGCTGGCCCTGCCCCCACCCAGACACTGGAGCAGTGAGTGGGGAGTGACTATAATGGGGGCATTTCCCCAAGCGCAATCCCTTTCCTGGCAGGGAGCCGCACTCCAGCTAAGAGAAGCTGCTGAGGACCACTGCAGTGCTGGGGGAGTTAGGAGGGCTCTGGCTCTATCCAGACACTGGTGCTGCCACACACAGCACGCTGCAAATCTGCCCAGCCCCATAGCACAATGTCCCCACCAGGAAGGGGTTGGCACTCCTTGACATTGTGACAGGAGCTGCTGCCCCCAAAGGCCCTGCCCTCTCCTGCTTCAGTGGCGGGGGGGGGGG